GAGCCCGGACCTGAACCTCACCGAAACCACAACCAGAAAACCGACCAGACGACCCCGGCCAGACTCCGTGGCTTGCATGTGCATAAATTATAATGCGACGCTTCCTGCCAAATACGCCCCTCTTTTCTGAATGGGACTGCGCGCTCCATCTCCATCGCCATCGCCATTGGAATCGCCATCGCCATCGCGTCCTCCGTCTCCAACTCCATCCGCAGGCTCTGCTTACTTTTACATAGTCCAATTTATCGTTACTTTGTTTGGCACACAATTTTACGCTTAATATGTGTTGGCGGCACTCGCATATGGGGCTCTGCCTTGAAAAAAATGGCTTATACCGCAAAATGAAGAATAAATTCAAAAAGTAATCACTTCTAGTAAGCTTCTTTAGCAACTACTGTTTCAATTTAGACGATGCAACAAACTATTTAGGGACAAACAGACTTGCACTTTTTACCATCATTTTTCGCAGTGCATTGAGTCTACATCAAAGCTGCTGCCATGGCTCATTCCTGTTCCTCGCTCTGGTCACGGCTTCTCCTATCGAAGCACATGCAATATTTAAATTGCAGTCATGGCCGTAGCTACTCCATATCCATAACCGTATCTGGAGCTGGGTATCTGGTATCTGGAGTATGCCACCCATCCGTACCAAACTCGTATCGTTCCCCGTTCGTTGACATGGCCAACGGCCCTGGCATTGATCGGAACCCAGAAAAGCGCCACGAACCATGCAAAGTCACAACTGCATAAATTTACCACCGCCTTTGCATTTATCATAAGAAAAATGTGCAGGAAAACGTCATCTGCATGCCATTCTCACAAATAAGTAGCTTGAACTATACATGCAGAAACTGTTTCTAAAAAATGTCTAAGCTTTTTGGACTTCAAGTGGAGAAAATACTTTATATTTCCCATTTTATTCCGCATATTCATATTAATTATAAGAAATTGGCCTAAAGAAATGAAATGATTTTTCCAAGGCATATGTCCAAGCCTTTTCCAATTGAATTTTTTCACCTTCAGCATAGATGGTCTCCACATTAAATATAAACATTTGTTCAATGAGAAACGGCAAGTGCCAAAAACACTTTACTGCAACTTCTTCCGCATGCATTTGAAAACTAATTTAACGTAATGAAAAGCCAATCGGATGATCAACAAGCAAATATAAATACGTTGTGGACTGGCTGGTTTTCACTTTGCCGACTCAGTTTGCTTCGAAAACGGCACTTCAGCCGAGGGACGGATGACCAAGCTCTTCAGTGGTCAAACAATGGATTCATGCTATTGAAGTTGCATAAATTTGGGACTGAAGCTTCGCTTCGCCTCGCATCCATTCGGTTCGATTCAATTTCCCCCTGGCAGTTGCATGTCACAAACGCTAAAACAACATGCACTTAAAAAAGCCAGGATATCTTCCTCGGCCCCCTGACAACCCCTTCTAATGGACGTCGGTCTGTGTGTGTTTGTTTTGTTGAGAAAATAAACAAAATGCTTGTTGATATTTTGTGGCAGCCAATGAAGCAAAAAACTTTCTGTCCATCCGTTTGTCTTGTGTGTGTCCAAAGCATCCGTTGGCCTGCAGCGGAATCGGTAAAATCAACAAGACCCCGGATCCACAGCAAATGGGATGGAGCATGTATAGGTCGGTCGCCCGATCTAAAAGCTGCTTCCATTTGCCGCATAATTGCAAACAAAAACGGAAAATATGTGTCCCAATCGTTCGAGATCAAGCTCGCATTCACAGCTCAATCGCAACTAGAATTCGAATTCTCGCTGCTTAGAGATATCTAATTTCACGTACTACCTATTGAGTCCTATTCAAATTATAGGGTCTCAGGTGGCCATTAACTCAAAGGAGAGTGGCAAGATGGGCTTGGAATTAAACAAGTTTTAAATAGCCTTCTTTGTACCGGAAAAAGTTAATAGTACTCTAAATGGTAGAAATAGATAGCAACCAAATTACTGAAACATTGATAGGACCTCCAAACCCTTGGAGATTTTGGATAACCCAGAAACCAGATACATTGTACCCACATCAAAGATTTTGAGTCCCCGCCAGATTGAAGTCTTACCCCGTGTACGCCAACCAATTGCCTCCATTGTTGGCGACAGATTTTAGCCGCTTGTTAGTGGCTAACAGTGGCGTTCACAAATACACACACCGAGAGCTGGGTTAGCATCGAATCCTTGTCACATGCTGGGTTACACCTTGAACCCAGAGCCCGGGACCCGCGTGCGATGGATATTTTTCTGCGGCATTTTCCGATTTTCCCGCTTTTCCGACAAAGCATCGTTTACGGGAGCAACCGCAGCGCCGGCACAAGGTAGCCTGCACACACATCCCGACCGTATAAACCATATAAATAAACAAAGCTCTGGCCGTCGTTCATCGTCCGGCGTCCCTACGCACTTTGTCCTGGAGCGAGAAACGAGAGGCAACTGTCGAAACTGTCAGGATGTCAAATAAGCGACAGTGGGTGGCAGACAGCAGGAAGTGCGGTGGCTCCGACTCCAAGCAGAGCAGCACAGGAGCAGTACCAGTAGCAGTAGCAGTACCAGAACCAGAACCAGAACCAGAGGTGGTATCAGGATCAACAGAAGGACCAGGACCACCCTAGGCATATTTATTGGAAATCTGAAACAGTTCGGGTGTCGACACTGCGCAAAAAAGTTATTCAACATCCCTATAAATTTTATTTGATATTCTTGCCCACACAGGCAATACAGCCTTTACCTGTTTATTAATTTAAACTATATAGAGGCTGGAATAATCAGTTAAGTTTGCTGGAACAATAGGCTTAAGTTACTTCTCCAAGTGCGCCCTTTACACCCACTCCTGACCATGTATCCATGTCCGGCATCAGGCGCAAAGAATTTGTTACATGAAATTGTTAACGGGCTGAAGCCGATGCCCGGACTCGACTGCGTTTGATGCCTTTTGCTGATATATGGCCAACCTTTGACATCCTTTAAACGAGCAACATGATGCTCTAGATTATGGCCAGGAGATTGGCTCGACTTTTCCCCGTTGGCTGCTCGGTTTGCCCGGATTGTCTCACTTGGGCGATACGTCAATGTGACAGTTTGATAATTTATTTTGTTCAAATTTTGTTTTTCCTTCGCTGGGGAGAGGAGCGCTTAAATAAGTTATCAACGTGGACCAACGGCCATGTAAATGGCAGCACGTAAATGAATGAAATTATTTTGCAACAAATTAAGGCAAATTTATGCGTCAAGGCGACAGGACAGGGGATTCGAGCTGGGCTCGGCGTTGGGATCCTGGATGCCTTGTAACAGGAAACACAATCCACAGGCGAACAAACAAAAGCGAAAACGGAACAGCACGAAGCGAAACAAACAATGAAACGAAAAACGACAGCCTCGAAGAGTGAAAAGCGACGAGTTTTCCTTCACCGAAATCTGAGCAAGGGTTTGTGCAACAAAGTGAAGGCTGCCCCCATTTCCGCATTTACCCCGCAAAACGGGGCTAACTGCGTCCGCTCTGCACTTGTACACATCCCGACATCCACTTCTATATTTTTTATTTCCCAGCCAAGTGAGGCTGGAATCAAATGTCAATAGAGAGTACATTTCATTCGGTCGGGTAATGCTTTTCTGCCCAACAACTCCCACTTTTCAGTTTCCGCATTGTAGCTGTCACAGTGTTTGTTTGCGGATTTGAAGCTTTTCCTCTTTGCAACGCGCTTTTTTGCCACGCCTGCCGTTGTCCTTTAGCGAGGGAGTTGCCAAGGTATTGCGAGCTGGATGCAGCACCTCGCAGTCCGCAAATAATAAAATCCCACAAACATTACCAACATGAATTTCTTAATTTATTTTCGTTACTATTTACTTTCATACTTCTAAGATTATTAGCATAGTTGGTTTTATTTAAGAAATACTTTTTGAAAATCAATCAATCCAAGTGTTGCATTTCGCAAAGCAGTTATTCAATTTAATTCATTTTCCACTTATCATTGTCACCTAGAGCATTCCGAGTTCGTGTGGCCTTCCTCAAGGATCTTTAATCTGCTCTCCGGCTTGGATTCGGATTCTGATTTTATTTTCGGGCATCGCTCCAATGCTGTCCGCCCCTTGGCCCGCCCACCGAGTGGATGCTTTGGATTTGCTTTTTATTTGCACGGAAATGTATAATTTTTCCGAGTCAAATGTAAATACTTTTAGCGTATTTTTGTGGGCTTCATTGGGTGGTTTGCCTGTGGGCTGGGGGCGTGGCACATGCAAATGACACGCCTGATGCTGCGTAAATAATTTTAGCGCTCTCTCTTTTGGCATAAAATGCTAAATAAACATTTTATTCTTGGAAGCATTCCTTCTTCGAATGTGGGTCAAATGGTGTGTCCGTAAAAGGCGCTTTTATCCCAAAACCAGATGCCGAAAATACAGTTTAATTGTATGCATATTGGCTGCGGTTCCGTCTGAGTTGGTGGAAACGTCACGTTTCAACAGCTCAATTTTCGGTTTTGCGATACGCGATGAAAACTTTTGCAATCCAATTAAATACATCGCAAGTCGAAATCTCGTTTTGACAATTTATGCATCCTTGTGAGACGCCACCGGCATATTTATTCCCATCGATGGCTAGACAATGACGCCTGCGGTCCAATAAATAACCTCCCTTTTGACACAATCGAAATTGGCTCGCAAACAAATTTTTTTGCCGAGATATCGCCCTTTTTTTTGATCTCACACGCACTAGGGGTTAAACACTTAACCCGCGTTGTGGCAAAAAATTTGTGACATCAAATTATGGAACGTAGGCGAATCTCGGCCGTTATCAAAAAGAAATAGTAGCCAAGGGCCCAGACAAAAATCCATATTATGGGTGGTTAAAAACAATAAATTAATGCATTTGGCTGAGAATTAATATATTACACTTCCAATAATTATGCCAAAAATGGAGAAAGCCTGAAGGTTTTTATAGCATATTTATATTGTAACAAAAAACAGATAAACCACTAATCTAGTTAGCATGGACATTAAAACATCAAAGCAACAAAATCAAGTTCAGCCTGGCTGAAATATATATTTATTCCACAACCAGACTTGAACCGATAAACTTTTTATACATCCCCAAAATACCACTAAGAAGTTAAAAAAAAAAACAAACACTTTTTGCCTTTTAAGATGACGTCTAGAAGAACAACGTTCGACAAGATGAACCTGGGTTTGCCCGTTCACTCGGACCCCTACGAAGGGCAAACTGAATCGGGATCGTCGATCGACAGGCAAAGCAGCGATAAAGTTATGTCTCATAAGGTGCTGATGGAAAAACTGTACAAGGAGGCAAAGCTCACGATGCCCGACCTTTTCACACATAATCCCTCCTGCAGCTCGGACGACTCCGAGGAATTAGAATTCCCGGAGACTATAAAAGAACGAGCCAGACGCATATCCTTCGTGCGACGCCGAAAGTTGCACTACAATGAGTTCTCAACGGTCGAGTTGGCCAGGCGTCTCATCCGCGAGGAGTTCACCCAGTCATCGGACAGCCTACTTAGCGTGGATAACGACTATGTCTCCGAGATCGCCGAAGAGGAGTGTGCTCCCTGCGACGACAACTCGTTTGACTTCATTCCGTATCTCCAGTACGATCGACCTACAGACCAATCGCAGTTGTCCGACGATAGTCTGCCGAAGGAGGATCCCGAGCCCGGATTCCATCCCACCCATCACTGCTATAACAAGCTAATAAGCCAGATTCCTGATCCGCCGATAGTGTACGTTCCCGTGGAGCCAGAAGCGCGACAGGAACCCCAACCCGAACCGCGATCGGAACCCCGATCGGAACCGGAAGCAGTACCCCCACCAGCACCACCACCACCTCCACCGCCACCGCAACCACCAACTGCGCCGGAAGTCAGTGGAGGAACAGCTCTGGAAGACGAAAAACACACTCGGATCCTCGACCATGGCGAAAACATTGACCTCAGGACTGTTAACGCCGTGCCGAAAACCATTAGTTCGGGTGTGAAAAAACCCGCTGGTGCAAGGACGCGGAATTTATAAGCTAATGGATGGCACAATAGGATATGGGATCCCGTTTAAATTGATTTATATTTAATTGGCAGTACCGACCACATTGTGTTTTCAAATGTTTCGTTAGGTGGAAATAAAAATGCGAAACGTATAGCCAGAAAATGCCTAAGATGGCAAAGTAGCTGAAATGTGATAAGAAGGCTTTACTTGAATCGGCCAAACAAACCCATACCCAATGCATCCAGGCTAATTTAGACACAAAATAACCGTAATCGCCTCTGATCTCAAATGACTCCATCAACGCCTTCTTGGCCCAGCACAGCTTTAAAAATATAGTTTTCCCGACCCGGAGACCGCACAATTATTTGGGCCATAAAGGACGAAGCCCACACTAACGCACACATGAAGGGACGCAGGACATTCACAGGGATAACTAAGTGTGTACGATAATGACCCATAACGGATTCCACTCTTTTCCCTGCCTTACTTTGCGTGGGTGGAAAGAAGGAGGATGAGGCTAAAAGGCATTTGGAGTACAATGTGCTGACATTATACTAACAAACTATTGCCTAACGTTATCTGCCAACGTTATCTGTGAGATAATATTCGGTATTAGCTCTTAATTTTAATAAAGTTATATTTAAGTTAACTTTTCACAATATTTCTTGTTCTCTTGGTAAACAAGAAACGTGCTATTTTCGTTCATCAATATAACTGCCCAGCAAGTGCCGATTTCCATTTTTTTTGTTGGTTCTCGGATCTGTATAACTCAACTTCCCATTACAATATTTCATTTATTATCATTTTTTTGTTGTGCTGTTATACGAGTATGTTCATGAACTCACATGCAAGCCGACGTGGTTTGCGGTTCGTGCATGTAAATATTTTTGCTTCTTTGAAAATATTTTAATTACAAAAGTGTACACTTAAACGCACTTTCATTTTCTGTTTTATGTCGGCCATGCTTTCGCTTACGGTAATTGTTTTGTTTCATGGTCTTATACCCCTTGCACATTGCGGTAAAGGGTATACAAGATTTTTTAAAATCTATATCAGGCAGAAGTCCGTCGAGATCTCTGGAAATATAAAAGCTAGAGTTCAGATTAACCTTGCAGATTCCAGCGCATGTTGGTTCCGCCCACTCTAGTGCTCACAAAACGCCCACACTTTTGAAAAATGAATCTGTTTTTCTCCATTACTATTCGATCGCAACTCACAAAGTAACAGGTATCTGATAGTCGAGGAACTTCACAACAGCGTTCCCCCATTTTTGCGTAAACTGCAGCTAAAGAAAACTATATATACTTGAAATCTAAAAATACTATAACCCCATAAATAACTTGTGTGACATACCATCAATGTGATGTGGCGGAGAAATCCGATTCGTTTGATTTAGCAGCGTATTCATTTGACTAATCTTCACCACTTTCAGCACACCTACTCCATTTGGGCCAATTTGGCGTTCCGTTCGGCCATGAAATGGAAATAAATATCACGTCATACGATCTGCACCGAAATCGTCGTTCGGCTAATGAATACTTTGTTGTCTATGAATGCCAAAGCTGGAAATGTCTAGACATTCTCGGTTGCTTGAACCCCTCGGCTGTGGATGCAGTCCCAGCTGCTGGCCTTCACAAGCTAAAAACAAGTCGATGAGATTGTAATCCCTACTTTAGGACACTAAGGAACTTTTATGACATTTAATTGCCGTTTCCTTTTAGTCCGCACACACGCTTCTCGTCTTTTAAGTTTGTTTTTAAAGGGATACTTGGGTGAATTGGTGTTTAGATGCCAGTGGCAAGTGTTGCTGACCTTTCCTAAGTTACTTGTTTCAGGGAAAAAAATGTTTATCCAATCTTTGTCTGGAGTATCTTTATCACTATCATATTTAACACAGAACTTCAAATTTGAATTGGGTAAATTTTTAAATTTAATTGAAGCTTAAAGCAAACTACTCTACACACGCATAGGTAAAAGAGTTTTAGTAACTTAGCATACCTCAAAAAACCTAATTAAAATTGAATGTATTTTAGGGCATCGCAAGTGCTGAAATTAATCTTTTGCATGGCAATTTGGTTAATTTTTTTATGGGACCCACAAAGTGACACGTCATGCCGGCAAATCAAGCTGAGTGGTCTGCAAGTGCCTGGTCCTAATCATCGGCCAAACATTGTGGCCAGTCATCGTGACTTATGTCAACCCGATCAATTGTGTCCTTGCTCGAGTCCTTGTATGCACATACTTGCCTCGTGTAGCAAGGATACAAAGCAATTGTTCGCCGCAATCGGCGGCATTCGGAGAGCATTAGACTTATTGTCCGTCGAGGGGAAATGGGGGCACTGCAATCGGCAATCGGCAATCGAATTTCTAGTGATAGGTAATCGGTAATCAAGCGTGGAATGAGCTGCCACGACTGCTTTGCATGTGAAGTGGCTCTGCAGTAAACTGCTTGGTAATTCCATTTAATGTGTCAACAATTAAAAGTATTTCGGTGGCTTTAGTAGGCATTTATTTTAGTTTTAAAATACTCGTGAATGTTTTAGTAATGAAATCATAAGCTAATGCCACCTTGATTGATTGAATGATTGATTGGCCTTATTTGTAAGAGCTCATGGGACAGTTTGCCCTTTTGACCAACTGCCATCGAGCGTGAAGCTGTCAAAACGTGGCTAGCAGCTGGGATCGGGGAGGAGCGGAGCGGATTGGAGCGAACGGTATCCATAAAATATGGCTTAAAGCCGGGCATCACGTGCCATGAGTGTTGACCCCAAAAGCAAACCGAAAATCATAACTCAATGTCGGGCTAACCAAGTGCAAAGCGCGAAATTAGTTTACACTTGAACTCGTGCAGTCCGCCCACCTGGTTTTCCTTTTGCATTTTTCCGACTCCACCCACCCCCACACCCACTCCCACGGCTTTCCACCCGCTCTGGTCGGCCTTCTTTTTGCTGCAGTGGCAGTGGCAGTTGCAGTCGCAGTCGCAGTCGCAGTCGCATTCGTGTTCATGCATAAACAAAATGGCTGCTGCAACAACCGGAAACTGACAGCAAACGACATTTGCGATATGCATCATATGTCTCCCAGCTTTTCCGCCCGCCCCTCCCCTGTTTTTCCGCTGTCATTTTCGGTGATGCCGGGGCTGGGGGGTCGGCTACTTGGCATATTTCTGTCGTGTCATTGTTCCTTGTGCGTCTTTTTGTGCAGCTGCTCCGGCTCATGCCCCTGTTCCCCAGCCCAACTCCTCCTCATCCTCCTCCCCCTGTCTGCGACTGTTAGCCTTGCAGGTGCAATTATGACGGCGGGCATCGCATCGGTGTCTCTGCCTTTCGTGGAAACAGCCAGTGGGCGGTGGGGCGAGTGGGTGTGTGTGGCAGTGTCAGCGACACATAAACATTATATCATCAGGCAACTTTTTGTAACTGTCATAAAATGCCAGCAACAGCAAACAGGATGGCCTCTCACGGCTCATCAGTCAACTGCTTGAATACTCTTACAGCTTTAGTATCTGAGTGTAGAATCCTTGATGCAAAACTAGCAAGATACGTCCATTCAGATGTAAACGAAGGCAAAACCCAGATTTTAATGCACTTTGTAAGATGATAAGTGAGATGGTTTGGTGAGTTATTGAGATACTTATTTTTTGTTTCGAACCTCTACTTGATTATACAAGTAATTCCATTTTCAAAGGTTTTCCATAGAACATTAGAGTTATGAGTAGAGTGTTTGCAATTTGCAAATCCATTCACATGCTCAGTGTATCCAAATGGGTAGAAAAATTTCAACAAGCTGGAAACAAATGAATGTTGAGGGAAACAGAAACACCGGCAAGAAAAGCAGAGCAGATATCCTGATCCAGCTAAGGATACAGGGATTACTTGAAAATACGTATTTTTTCAGCGGCTTAAAAAGTTTAATTTTGCAATAATATACTACACAAAGATAAGCGTAACGCAGGTTTTGTATTCATTTTTAGTTACATCTTATACCTGTATCTAAGACATGTTTGATTTTAGTAGTAGCAGTCCCCAAGAACACTTTAGCGAGCTGCTACTGTACGGCGGGAACTTGTGCCACTGTTGTTCCAATTGCTGTAGCTTCTGCTGACGTTCCACTGCTTCTGTTTCTGCATTTCCGGCTGCTGTAGCTGCTGCTCCTGCTAAGCCGGCGTAGTAAATCCTTAAACACCCTATGGCCCACCACGCCCACCACCACCTCCGCCCCCCACATGTCATGGCTCTAATGAGCTGTGTGTGTGTGTGTGTGCGAGTTGTTGCATTGTTGTTGACGTTTCAGCTGGCATATGATGCTTGTTAGTGAGTTTTTCCCATCGCTGTTGTGCTTCTTTCGCTGGATGCCCCTTTCCGTGGGCCAGTGTGTGATGCGCCGGTCTGGGTTGAAATATTTTCATGAGTTTTGACAGTAATGTGTCGCAATGGCTGTCGCACTGTCTTTTTGCAGCGCCATCTAGCGGCGGAATGTCCGGGGAGAGTATGCTACAAAAAAGTCACTAATAGGATGTTTCCATTTGCAATTTCTTTGCTCAAATACAAATAGAGTATTGAGTTTTGTGAGCACAAGCGCTGTAATTAATGCGCTAAAGAATTCCCAAATTTTTGAGTTTGAAGAAGATCTCGCATACTCCCCACATTTCAGCTGAAAGCTGGAACGCCATTAAAGGGGCTACAAAATGGTGGTGATTGGGACATTAGAGGGGGCAAAAGTACTGGGGCATGCTGGAATACCGCTGCCGTCGCGAGTGTTTAAGCGTTGATTACACTTTCGTGTTTGGGCGTTGCTTGTCACTTGTCTCTTGCTCCTGTACAAGTTACTCCGCTCCATTGTTTTTCCGGCTGTTGTTGCTCTAGTTGGTAGTTGTTCATTTGCCACATCTGTCTGCATTTGCATGTTGCTTGTGCTCGACGAGATTGTTGACTCCTTCGTCCTCCAGCTGCCTCCAGTTGTATCCATATGCAGGCGGAAGTGTGTACATGTGTACGACTGCATATTTTATGACTTTTATGTTAAATAAAGCATAAGTGCACGTATTGATCTTTTATGAGTATATACATATGTTCGGTTTCTTTGCAAATGTACCGAGCTAATAGTAATTATTTTTACATCTCAATGTTATTAGACCTTACTAAATTCAGAGATTGTCAATGAAAAGGTATGCACAAACGCAGTGTATTTGTTATGGAAATAATAATTACAAACCTAACAAGATTTAGTTTTTTGCTAACATTTCGATTTTATTTAATTATACGAATTACGTCAATACCAAGCGCACAAAAACCAATCAAAGCTTAAGAGAATGAAATGTTTAATATTTAATTAGTAGTCTGCAACACAGGGCAAATTGAAATTTAGTTTAATTACTAAGAATGTTTATGAAATGTTTGAAAAATAATTAATTGTTGCTATAAATACTAGGCTCGTGTAAAATAAATCTTTAGTTTTTTTTTTTATTCCCAGAGGGCAGCATTAAATAATTAAATCATGTATGCTTAAGGGGATGCAATAAATACATCAACAATCCATGAATATTTGATATAAATAATTGCATTTTGTTATGTGCCAAATTAAAATGAAATGCCATCATCATTTCTGATGGCATGTCAAATGTTGGGCATTAAGTTTTC